GTAAGCTCTTCAACAAGATTGTGTAGTCTCTTCAAAAGAGCAGGTAACCTGTGTACAGCTTCCACACCTCTATGGTTTGAGCATATCTTCTTCAAAACCTCAGAGGCAATGAAATATCCTTCTTCCTTGTTCCTGAAAAAGTTATTCAGTGAATATAACCAAGTCAGAAAAGTTAATACCATTGACTGGGCCAGCATGCAAATATACTCCTATAAACCTGAGCAACTCCCAGAAGATTGTCTCTGCAGATCCCCGAGTGTCAATCAGCACTTCTACCAAATGTGGAAAGCGGGCAAGGTTTCTGAGTGTTGAGAGTGCATGCTTTAGAATTTCCTGATCAGGTATACTTCGACTAACTGAGCGAATGAGCTTCAGCAGAATGCCAATTGCCCCTGCTGCAACAAGTTCTTCGCAACATTTCTGAGAATGTCCTGTAGCCATATCTGCAATGAAAAATTCATTATTATCTACCACAACATAACAACTTTTCCTTTCCAATGAGGTCATCTTAGCAAACCCATGAGTGGCAGAAAATCAAACTATTGAATTTTGGAAGAATGGAACTCAACACACCCAAAGTTGCACAATTATGAAGAATGCCACTGACGCTTCTCATGCTAAGAAGTTCAGATAGTGCTGATAAAAGTCTGTTAATAATACGCTTGCTATCATCCACATTCACAGCAGACTTTTGCACTCTCAAGCGCAAATCCTGTAGCTGCCTTGATTCTTTCCGCGCAAGATAACCTTTCCAATATGACTGTAAGATTGTCCGGAAGGGAAAAAGAAAAAGATTAGAAAGAGGAATACAACCTCAACAAATAAGGCCGGCATATTCTAGTAAAATCTGTAATTGCAAGAAATAATAATCCGAACTTATAAAATTCCAAGATATGATTAAAAGAAACTGGATTCTAATCAAGACTATGTGGAGAAATTGCACTTGTTTGGTAAAGGCATCATTGGGGTAGCAGTATAGAGGTTACTTACTTGTACTACAACAACACGGTGCCGCTCTCTACATGCTTTTCGCCTAGCAATCCACCCTCGTATGTGGCGCTGAATAAAGATGGCTGAATTTGCTCTCAATTTAAGCAGTGCAATATCCCTCCACCATCTTTGTAGTTTCAGAACTGAAGCTAGTACTATTTTCAGCTCAACACTCTGGAAGGAGCCTCCTGACACATTCAAACAGTGAGTGCTAATGCTAGCACTGACTGCCTGAAATGAGGAGGCACCTGCAAGTCATAGAAGAAACCAAATACGATTACATTTTCATCTTGCAAATGGCATTATAGATCAAATACGTGAAGTTCAGAAGAATTTGCAAAAGTACCTAGAAGCCTATGTCGAGCATTTTGCCCCCTGACAAACCGTTGAATTTCAATAGCAGCGTGCTTCTGACATTGAAATGCCTTCCGGCATGTCATGCACCGAGTAGCACTTTGGATCTGTATTGCAGCCTCTCTTTGGCGCAAAAATTCCTTCCTTGCCAACTGACAGCGATAATGTCTCTGGATATATTAAGAACAAGAATAGTTATTTTTATTTATGCAAGTCAATCATACTATTACAAACGTACTAAGCAATGGATAGCATAAAAGCAGACAATATTATCAATCAAAATATCCGTATGTCATGTGCGTTCACCATCTTATCAAGCAAGCATAACATCTATGATAGACCAGGAAAGTGAGACACTTTGAATAATTGGATAGGGCTTTCTTGAAAACTAACAAAGGGAAAAAAAACATGTCTTACCTGGATTGCAAGGATGAGATGCCTATATCTCCAAGCTCTTCTTCGTGTAATCCATCCACGAGCAAGAGATTGAATTTTTTTTATTCCTTGCTTTTGAAATAGAAACCTCCTTCTTGTCAACCAACAACGGAAATGAGTCTGAATTTTAGTTGCAGCAAGGGTCTGTTTGTTGAGCAACCTGCATATAAACTTCTTCCAAGCAATCTGAATATTGGTTGCTGCTTCATTTTCAACATTACATATACCCTCTTCTTGGCACATGAAAGAATGGTTTTGATCTGAATATTGGCTTTGACCTGCTTGCTTTTGATCTAAAAACCTCCTCCTTGTCAGCCAACAACGGAAACGACTCTGAATTTTAGTTGCAGAAGGGGTCTGATTCTTCAAAGCATTCTGAATATTGGTTGCTGCTTCTATTTCAACATTACTCGTACCTTTTTCTTGGCACATGAGAGAATGGCTCTTAATCTGAGTAACTCTATGATTGTGCATTGACCTTGCAATCCAACCACGGAAATATTTCTGAATAACAATGGCAGCATTGACTAGGCCAGATGAGGACACATCACTTCTTCTAGCAATCCAGATCCTTGTGGCTTTCTGAATGAGCAACACTGAGCTTCTTAACTTGACAAAATTGTGTCTGTCTACAAACAGCTCCACATGCCACTTCAGCGTCTCTGACACAAGGTAGTTCATAAGATAAGAAAGCTGGATAATCTGGGAAAAGGGTATAACTAAAAAGCTGGAGAAGATATCATACCACATGTATATTCTCTAACTTCCAAGGTACAGAATTTGATGGATACTGAATTCTGCTTCACTTTCAACCATGCATGGATAACAGTTTGCAACAAACAGATTGCTTTCCTCTTCTTCAGAAAATCACAACGAGCAATCAACCGCCTAAAATGAGACTGTATGACAATTGCAGAAGTTTCTGGAAATGTTATGCAGAGATGGAAAGGTTAGGAAAATAATGTTATTGACACCAGAGATGCTATAAGGTGATAAAGCAAGGAGGGCAGGGATTTAGTAATGAGCAGGATTTATATCAGAAGGATTTAAAATCAATCCCATTAAGATATTGAAAATGCACAAAACAAAAAAAGAATGGCATCAATACATCAAGAAGAGGAGATGCTAAAAAGCAACCTCGTTGCATGTCAATGCTTTGTTTTCTAGGGGCAAAGCTTTGAAGTGTAGAAACAGTGGATTTTGTTACACTTTTGTAGTTCTGTTCGGTCATATCTCGCCACCAAGCCTGAACAGCCTTGAACTTTTTAGGAGCATCTGTATTATAGAAGAAACATTAGATAAAAATAAAATGTCAAGTCCTAGGATTCCAGATTTCCATTTAATTACTAGACAAGACATCCAACAAAGTTGCATGATGTGAAACTTGCCTAACTTGCCAAAAGGAGAGCTGCTAACACTAAAGGGACTTTCCATTATGTTTCCATCTATTTCATCCTCATGTATCACAGCCTCAGAACTTGCAGACCGCCGTTGAGTATATAAGTGCTTCCTTTCTGTGCTTTGACAATTACATCCCAAAAGTTTATGAAAATTCAGTTGATCCTGACAAGAGACAGAAGAGTAGTTAAAGTGATTTCTAGACAATGGAACAATCAAAATGTTATCCAGCAAAAGATTTTAGTATTACCACATTTTTCTTGACAATTAGCTGAGATGACAAGAAGACTAATAGAACTACCACGCTTCTTTCACTAACCGCACCATTATGCTCAAGTAAATCACTTATTTGCAGAACCTGTATAGACAATATAGGAAAATGGTACAGCCAAGAAAACACAATGCATTGCAACTAACAATAAATCACGTCTGTTTCTTATGTAACATGCCTAACAAATACTGAAAATTTCAAATTATTTAATATCATTTCACCCCATAAAGCTGCTCCTTCTCAGTTCATGAGATCTTTCTAGTTTATTTTTTTCCACAAATTCATAAGTTTATAAGTTCCCCACTTCCTTTAATGTTCCAAGTTTCACACTTTTTATTGACAATGTATGAAAAGTAAAATAAGCATATAATGATGACGTGTAGCAATGGAGGGTGTAAGACATAATGATGACGTGTAGCAATGGAGGGTGTAAGACAAGAAGTTATTGGCCATAAACTAAATACTACCTCAGGAAAGTTTCCCAATAATGTTGTAAGCTTCTGCGATAATACGAAGTTGTGAACTGCATCCGCATAATCAGTAGCAGACACAATTGACTCTTCACCTCTTGTTTCTTGAGAATCCTATTATGACATGATAAAATTTGAAAAAAAATCATTGCAGAAAATTCAAAAAGTTGTTATGTGAGAGAGAGTGTACCACCTTGCAAGAACAAGAACAAGAAAGTTCTCTACGGAAGTAATAGTCAAGCAAGCACCATATGGCTTTTCCATTGACCAGTGAAGGGAAACCATCAATCTTAAGATCATACTTTTCACAAATTGCCTGCAAAAAATAATTTATCCAGTAATGAAGTACAATGCAGGAACGTGAAGATTAAAATAGAAAGCATTCTGGATTAATCAATGCCTGAATCCAACTCAAAAGCATTTCCAAAGGAGGGGAGCTGATGACATTCAGTTGATCCTGAGAAAGGAAGAAAATAAGTTGAGAATACCAGACAGTAGAGAGTAAACACAGCTACAAAACTAGTAGTAAACTATAATCCTTTTTAACAATGAAAAGAAAGATTCAAATAGATTTCGATTATATTATGAACCAGACAAATCAATGGACATTCATGTGCCCTACCTCTATTTCTCTTTTTTTAATCCTAGGAGTAAAGGAAAGATCTCTGGAACATACCATATCGAGACCACGAATTTTATGTATTTCCTCAGCTACTGTTGTCTTGTTCATCAGAAGTGGTAACTGCAAACTCAGTCAAATTTCATGTTATGCAACTAAAGGAATTAACAACTGTCATCACTCTTAATAACCTCTTACAAATAACTACATAAAATTTGGAAGAGAACACACCTGTAAGTGAACAAACATATTCCACAGCAATGAAATAATGAGTTCCTTATCACCGTTAGCAACATCATCTCCCATAATTGTTGTTCCATCTTCATCATATAGGAACACACCAGCCTGCCTCAGGTATTGCAGGGCAACATTACAATTTGCCAAATTTTTTTTGCTGGTATCCGAAGGAACAACCATTTTCTGCTCATGCAACAAGTCTCAAAATTAAAACAACATTCTCTGTCCTCAATATCAATGGTCATTGGTACATTATTTTAAGTGGAAGAGGAAAGAAACACCAACCATAAGGATAGAGGTATCATGTTGCAAGATTTGAATTGCTCTACAGAGCCGCACCCCATCCTGTAGATCCCCAAACAAATCTGACACTCTGAAGTCAAACTCAACAAGGGGAGGCTGCATCAATATAAACATTTGATTATGTTCAAGAAGATCCACTGATAGAGTTACAATTGCTAAGCACACATCCATTTGAGATTTGATGTCTAATTATCCGGGCAAAACCTCCAGAAGTTAGTGTGCATGATCCAGAATTTTATAATGGACAACGAGCATCTACAGCTGAAAGAACCATTTGCATCCACAATAGCAAACAAGTATTACAAATTACAAATGAATTAAACCACGTACCTGCTGATAAGAAACTTTGTACCCTATAATCACTAGATGCGCAAGAAGATTACCTTCCCCATGCATAACATCAGATGATAAGAAATCTGATTTAAGACAAGAAAGAAAAAATGACCATCAAATCATCAATAGATGGAAATCATAATACATAGAGCCATAGACTAAAAAATTAATGTAGAAACCATAGGCTAAAGAACAACGAGTTAATTACCACTAATCATTTTACAACTTGATTTAATACTGGACTGCACTGTGAACAAAAGTGGAGAACCTCCATCTGCTCCATCTATACCATACTTTAGAGGAAGACTGCTTTGAGATTTGGCCCGATCAAGTATAAGAACAAGTAACAAAGTTCTCTTCAATATTAAATTCCCCAGTTCCTCATAGTAACCAGGTCGATATAACCCTTCAACCATTTTGTTATAAGCATATGCTTTTGCTAGTCCAACATGCGAGAAAAATTGCTTCTCAATTACCATCTTCAAGAATGCCATTTCTTCCTCGGAACTAACATTTACATCACATAGTAAGGAATCACCACCGAAAATAATGTATAACCCGATTCGAAGCCAAATTGGGTTGTAAGACATGAGAATTCTTGTTGCCTTCTCTTTCATTCCAAAATCTGTTACTACGGGACAATGTGCCTTCATTTTTAACCTCCCTTCATCTATATTCTGAGAAATAAAACAACAAAAGCTATTCTAATTAGTTATGGCAGTTCCATGTTCTAGTAGAGAAGAAGATAGAAAAAGGAAATTAGAACTCTGGAAGAAGCGAACCCTTGTGACTTGAGTCATGATATCAAATATCTCCTTGCAAGTCCGCAAGCTCAAGTAAACCTGCATCCGCTGTATCAAATCATCGAAACTACAGACATTTTCCAGCGAAGATCTCAAGCTGGAGTACTTCGAACTCGAACAATCCTCGGCCACACTCTCCACCTCCTCCCCTCTCCACCACAACTCCCTCATCCTCTTCGGATTCCTCCACGTCACATCCACGCGAATCACACTGTCATCCCGTCCATCAATCGACACATCACAGCCACACGACCTAGGGTTTTGGAACAGGAAGTTGAGCCAGACAGTGAGCGATTTCGCTAATGATCTGAGGGAATGCTCCTTCTTAATCTGTTCTTTTCTAGAAGACTTGGACTGTTCAAGCTCGAAAGCCTTGAGCCTGCGTGCTGCCGTTTTGGAGCGGGCGGAAGCTGATGCGAGGGAAGGGCGGGCTCGGCGAGTAAATGAGGATGACCTCGGGGTTTGCTTGGAGGCGGTGAAGAACCGCGAGCCTGATGGGGAGTGGAAATTCGGGTTTTGTGAGCGGCGTTTTGGGGTTTTGAAATTGGAGATGTCCTTGAGAAGCGAAGACGATGAAGAAGGGATCGCGGGATCATCAGACTCCATTTTTGCAGAAAATTGTGAATCTGTGGGAGATTTCTAGAAGAAATTGATTCCCTGAGTAAGAAGGCGAGGGGTTTTGTTTGAATTTGAAATTTTGAAGGGAAGAGAATAAGGCGCTCTCTTGCGAAGCCTGTAACAGTGTAACGTTAATTTCTGATGATCGGTACGTGTCGAGACGGGTCACGTGGGAGCCCGGCAGAATAACTATTCGGCCTGTTATTCGCCCAGCCCAAGTGTACATATCTTGGACAGAGTAGCTAAGGCCCAAAGTTTCAAACGGATCGAGCTCGTCAATTAGACTCATAGGAGTATAAGCCTATTTGTAGAGTGTACCTTTGGCAAAATAGAAAATTACGAGTATCTTAAATGAAAATATCAAAATATTTAATAATTATTATATAAAAAAATTTAATAAAAATAAGATTTATATTATATTTTATATGTTTAATAGTTGTAATTAAATATTTTAATGTTTTTAACATTAAAATATTTTATTTTATTTTATTTTGTCCTATGGTTTATCACTTGTTTGATAACAAGTTTTTTAAAAACATTATCATCATAGTTTGCAAGTTAAGGAAATGGACTTTGATTTAATTTTACAAATTAAGAAATTTTTTTTGTAAGGAAAAGTGCCTATCTATTGTCTCTTAAAAATTATTCTATGTATCTTACAATAATTGTTATTTTTTTATTTTAAATTTATTTTAAATTAATCATTATTTTTAATTTTTAAAATAAATAAAAAAAGTATCATATTTTAATAAGTCATTTTAAAATTATACTATTTTAATAAATTTTTATTAAAAAAAATTAAAGCATCATATTTTTAAAATATGATTTAGAGTGTTTCATAAGATAAATA